CCACCATTTCTATTGTCATTTCTTTGTGATTTACCATTTTCAATCTTTGCTTTTTGTACTTTGGTAGCAATTACTTCTGAATGTTGGCTTGTGGGCTTTTGCTTCCTAATAGATTTATATTTCCAAATGTCTTCCTCCAAAAGGCCATCTTCAGACATGACAATCCATCAATGAAGGAAATATCTTCTTTAGGAAAAATGCTTCCTTTAATTCAGTTGTATTATTTTACTATACTTTAAAGTAATAAGTATCAATTGCCATATTAAACATCATGCTATCCCATTCATATAAATGTTATAAATACAGATACAGTTTAACGTTCAAGTGCAATGATTGACATTTCAAATATTAAAGTGCACTTAGATAAGAATCTACAATTCTAGCCATGATGCCAGTTTTTAACTCTCTTATATTTTGAGAAATTTGACTAGAAAAACTTAGAACTGTTCCACCGACTTCTTTTCTTCCTCTGTGATCCTGAAATACAAATAATAAAAGTAAAACAAAATTTCTTCAACAGTTCATTTAAAGATTATTCTAAATATTCTAAAAACACAAAGAATCATGTTTCCTATTGATTCTCTGAACTGAAAAACAGTAACTAAATTTCAAATACTTTTCAATAAACACTGCATTGTTACTTCATTTTATAACATCTTCCAACAGATAATATCCAAGCACACTTTTAGCTTTAAGGGTTGGTCTCAGAAAAGCAAAACAGTATTTTCCCTCTTCTCTGCTTTCTTCCCATATTCTCTCAATACAAGCCATAAATGTAATATCATCTATAGCAGACATGTCAAATTCGCGATGTCATCGGGACTGTTTTGCCATTGCCGGCAATGGGGTGGGCATGGCTTCTGTGTGACGCATCCGGCCCGTGGGCCGGCAGTTTGACACCCCTGGTCTACAGTATCTTTGTTTTGACAAACTTCCTCGTGCTGGGGAGAACACCAAGGGCTTTTCTCCTCCCTTAAAGGCAGGAAGAAAGTGGAAAACAGCTGCTATTCCAATGGTTCTGCCTTGTCTTGCCTTGAAAACAAGGCTGCACAAGTTGCTGCAAGGGAAAAATTTCCTCTGTTGTGCTGGGGAAGTAAGATGCAGGAAAGGAGTGAAATCTTCCCCTTTTCTGCTGCTTGCCTCTTTCATGCTTCGCCATAGGAATCCCTGCAATGGCACATCCAGTTGCCATTGTGGAAGGTAGAGATAGATAGATAGATAATTTAATTTGTATACCGCCCTTCTCCCATAGGACTCAGGGCGGTTCACAGCATATTAAAAACAAATAGTACACAAAATACAAAAAATACAAAATACAAAAATACAGAAGTACAAAGAATAAACCCCGATAAAAGCCGAATTAAAACCAAATATTACCAGCTGTGTTTCCGATTAAAATACTTTTAAAATTATCCCTACCTAAAATCCTCCCTAGGTCAGGCCCGCTTGCTGGAAAAACCATGTCTTGAGGGCGCGGCGGAAAGTAAGGAGATCCAGAATCATCCGGATCTCGGGGGGTAGTTCATTCCAGAGGGTGGGGGCACCCACAGAGAAGGCCCTCCCCCTAACATGTCAGATGTTACAATGGGAAACAACTTCAATCAGAACAGAGCTGGAAGTCTTCTAGTCCAGGGCTTTTCAACCGGTGGTACGTGTACCACCTGTGATACTTTGCCACGTGGAAGGTGGTACAACTGCTAGCCATGTGTAGCAGGGAAGGGGAATGAGCCTAAGCAGCCTGAGGGAGAGGCAGCTGCAGCTGTATGACTGTCTGGGCTCGGCAGAAGCTTTTAGAAAGTTTTCTTTGAAGGTAAAGAGGCTTAATTTAAAGCTAAAGCTTTTTGCAATTGTCGGAACCTTTCAGTCTCAGATTGCAACATTGTGACACTGACATGCCTGAGGCAGCTTAAAGAGAAAAAAAACGGGAGGCTTATTTTGCTTTGCACTTGATTCCTATGTCTTTAAGGATACAGGGATACTACACTCTGAAAGGATTGCTCAGAAGGGATAGAGGGCCGACCAGCTAGCTCAGGGGTCTACAAACTTAGCAACTTTAAGACTTGTGGACTTCAGCTCCCAGAATTTCTCATCCAGCCATGATGGCCGAGGAATTCTGGGAGTTGAAGTCCACAAGTCTTAAAAGTGCCAAGTTTGAAGACCCCTGAACAAGCTGGTAGTGGTGCATATTAAAAAAATATGGATAAATTCATCATACATTTGTCAGTACAAAGGGAAAGCGATTCAGCAAAGGAACAGCCACCAAAGAAATTAAAGCTGGTACTTTTTTCCTTTTTTTCTACAGTTTGTAATATTTTATTAGGTTATAGAATAAAATACAAAAATACAAAAGCAAATAGTAGGACATAGTGGGGAGGAAAAGGGGGAAAAGTGAGGGGGAGAAGGAAAAAGAACAGACTTCCTCTCTTGCAGTAGAAGGAAGCATTAATATTGAACCTCAACTTTTTACTTTTCCATATTATAAACTAGCCAATTCTATAACAACAAATGAATCTAATCAGTAAAACCCAAAATCCCCCCCCTTTTTTTTTAGTCATCAAGTTTTTGACACCTTGCTAAGCACTGGTGGTACTCACTCATGCGGTCACTCATGCCCTTGTGACCTCCCGCCTGGACTACTGCAATGCTCTCTACATGGGGCTTCCCTTGAGGAGCACCCGGAGGCTCCAGCTAGTTCAAAATGCGGCCGCGCGGGCGGTGTTGGGAGGGACTCGTCGCTCCCACGTCACGCCGCTTTTGCGCGAGCTGCATTGGCTGCCGGTGGCCTTCCGGGTGCGCTT